AAGCAGACTCCCCGCCGAGCAGGGAGCCCGATGAGGGACTTGATCCTGGGACTCCAGGATCATGACCTGAGCCGAAGGCAGTCGCTTAACCAACTGAGCCACCCAGGCGCCCTAAATCTTTTTTTAAAAAAAGCACTTGAGAGGGGCTGAGAGTTGAAAAATAAATCAACCTTCTCCCTCAAAAATAAATAAATAAATAAATGCACCTGAGAGTCAAGTGCAGAAACTGGAATGGTTTGGAAAAGAAACAAGAGCAGGAAAAGTGATGGTTGCTCAGGCAAATGTTTGTCATGGTGGTAGATAAAAGCAAAATGGTGCCCTGGCATGGAGAATCTGTCCTGTTGTCTTGCTAATAGAATAAAATTTAAAGGTCTAAGCTTGACTTTGGCTCTCAAAAATGTGAAACATACCTCCTGCTAAGACACCTGCTTCTCTACCGTATTCTTCGCCCTAAGGTTTCCTTCACAGCAGGCTTGGTCGTGCCATGTAGCTGGCTCAGGATACCCTTTTCTCATCACCCTTCTCTCACCTGCCCAATCTGGCTCCCTTGTTCTGAAGTCAGTTAAATGCCATCTACATGAAATCTCCAACTGACCTTAGCAATAACAGCCTGTCCTTTCTCTGAGCTTCTATAGCCCTAGGCAGTCACGCCAGTCTCTGTGTTTCTTGGTTCTATCTTGTTATACACATTTCTCATCAGATGGTTAAGGTCTTGGAGAGCAGAGTTCATATTTACATTTCTCGTACGTACTTCCAGTAGCTGGCACAGTAGAACAAATACAGCAATTCCCCAGTCTTGTTGCCAGAATGCATTACTTAAAAGTTGCAGAGTAGCAGAACAACCACCTTATAATGGCCAAGAGGGACAGCCCTGGGTTCAGAAAGACTCAGGTTTAATTGCCAATTTTGCCAACTTCCAGGTGTGTGAGTTTGGTCAAGTTATTTCATTTCTGTGCACTTCAGCCTCTTCTCCTGGAAAAGGGGAGAGTGCTTGTACCTGCCACAACAGTTCTTGCAAGGGTTAAACAGGATTTTAAAATGTGAAGTGTTTAGCACACTGCCAGATTACCTATAAATTGGAACGACAGTGTAAAAAGCAAAGAGGAAAATCATGACTGATGATTTATCTTAAAATCAACACAGAACAGATGTAGCCCTAAAATTATACTCTCTTAATGAAACGCTCTTCCAAATTTCTATAAACAAAATGAACGGAGAAACAAACCAAATGGCTTTTGGTATAATGGTATCACATCCCTTTCTGGACATAGATCTGAACTCACTAAGGTCTTCAGGACTGATAATTTTGGAGAAAAGAAAAATGCAAAATAAAATAATTCTCATAAGTCTTGTTCAAGTATTTTCATGTAATCTTTCTACACATCTGATAGTAATTAGTGGCATATTAAAATGATAAATGTAAACAGGATACTTAAGAAAAGACAAGGTGACTGTCGTCCTTAGCCTATTTTTGGCTGTTAATTTTTTCTAATATTTCATTTTTTATCAATTTTTTTTAAAAAAAGTAGTCATTTAAGGTAACACATACATGACTGAATTATAGTATGTATGACTTGGAAGGGACAAGCCTTTTTGGTTCTGCCCCAAGATAATCACTGTTAACAGTTTGGTGTATGTGCTCCCATAATTTTTCCTGGAGTACATACAATTAAATCAATAAAGATGGAATCACACATTGGGGCACCTGGGTGGCTCAGTCGTTAAGCGTCTACCTTCGGCTCAGGTCATGATCCCAGAGTTCTGGGATCGAGTCCCACATCGGGCTCTCTGCTCAGCGGGAAGCCTGCTTCTCCCTCTCCCACTCCCCCTGCTTGTGTTCCTGCTCTCGCTGTCTCTGTCTCTGTCAAATAAATAGATAAAATCTTTAAAAAGAAAAAAAAGATGGAATCACACTATAATACTGTCCTCTGTTTTTTTTTTTTTGACTCAATGAAGTATACTAAGATATCTTCCCATGACAGAAGATAGAATCTTTTATTATTTTTAATGGCTACATATTTCATTTTATGGAGGTACCACAATTTATCCAATTCTCTATGAAAAGATGACTCCAGGTGTGTGTGTGTGTTTCAGCATTCAAAAATGCTTGAAGTTGAGTTGCTGTATCACAAAGAATGAACATTTAAAACTCTGATACAAATTTAAAAAGAAAAAAATTAATTATTACAAAATTGCCTTCCCTAAAGAGCCATGCATACTTTGTAACAATCTTTTTTTTTTTTTAAAGATTTTATTTATTTATTTGACAGAGATAGAGAGCACAAGTAGGCAGAGAGGCAGGCAGAGGGAGAGGGAGAAGCAGGCTCCCTGCTGAGCAAGGAGCCCGATGTGGGGCTTGATCCCAGGACCCTGAGATCATGACCTGAGCCGAAGGCAGCTGCTTAACCAACTGAGCCACCCAGGTGCCCCTGAAAGCTGTATTTTAAAACTCACTATGCTAAGGGCGCCTGGTGGCTCAGTCAGTTAAGCAGCTGCCTTCAGCCCAGGTTGTGATTCTGGGGTCCTGGGATCAAGTCCCATGTCGGGCTCCCTGTTGAGTGGGGAGCCTGCTTCTCCCTCTCCCTCTACCTGCTGCTCCCCCTGCTTGTACTCTCTCTAATAAAAAATAAAAAATCTTAAAAAAAAAAAAAACTCACTATGCTACCCTTCATGTATAATTTATTCTGGATTCTTTGGAGACTGTTCTCTTGGGTGCATTAAAAACAAACAAAAAAACAAACTTCCTACTACCAATGGAAAGTTTTTAGAAGCCAGGTTTTAGCTCTAATTGTCTGCGAGTCCCCTGCCAACACTAATGGAACAAGCACCATAGTGAGTGGTTGCTATCAGAAAGGTTCCACAATTTAAAAAAACAAACAAACAGGGGCACCTGGGTGGCTCAGATGGTTAAGCGTCTGCCTTCAGCTCAGGTCATGATCCCAGGGTCCTGGGATCGAGTCCCACATCCGGCTCCTGGCTCAGCAGGGAGTCTGCTTCTCCCTCTCCCTCTGCCTCTCCCGCTGCTCATGCTCTCTCTCTCTCTGTATCTCTGTGTCTCAAATGAATAAATAAAATCTTTAAAAAAATAAAAAAACAAACAAAAACTCATCTGTTATAATCTTGATATGAATCACTGTGGTTTTCTTTCTTTCTTTCTGACATGTGTCTGAGTTTGTAACAGAAGTTCAAACCCAAACGCCCAGAATCTGATTTTATTTTATTTATTTAATATTTTATTTATTTATTTGAGAGAGAGAGAGAGAGCGAGAAAGAGAGAACATGAGCAGGGACAGAGGGGAAGGGAGAAGCGGACTCCTCTGCTGAGCAGGAGAGCCCAACACGGTGCTCAATCCCAGAACCTTGGAATCATGACCTGATTCCTGAAGGCAGATGCTTAATCAATGAACCATGCAGGTGCCCCTGGAATCTAATTTTAGATAACAATTTTAATTATAAAACAAAAACATAAACCAATAAAAACACTCTTTTGGCTTTAAGACTGTGCTTTCATGCCTCTGTGGAGTATGTTTTTACATACCCATACTCCTGAGTATGTGAAATTGGTACTTAGTCCATAACTCAGATCTTCAGTGAACAAGATGGCTCAAGTACATTTAACTCATACATTACAATTATATTATAACCCATAAAACCAAAATGGAAATATAGTTGACCCTTGAACAACATGGGGGTTAGGGACACTGACCTCCCCCACCCCAGTCAAAAATCTGTATAACTTTTGACTCCCAGAAAACTTAACTACTAATAGCCTACTGTGGCCTGGAAGCCTTACCAATACCATAAACCATCAACTAAGATGTATTTTGTGTATGTACTTTATACTATATTCTTATAATAAAGTAAGCTAGAGAAAATGTTTTAAAGAAAATCATAAGGAAGGGAAAATAATATTTACCGTATTGTACTTGTAAAAAATCTGCATGTAAATGGACCCAAGCAGTTCAAACCCATGTTTAAGGGTCAACTCTAGTCGATCAAGTAACACCATCAAGCTCCAATTTTAATACAATTTGAAACTTAGTTCTGCATCTATATATCCTTCCCTTTGTCCTTAGCATCACAACACAAATAATCAGGGTAGCAACATGCTTTAAAATTTTTCTTCTTTCCAGACTCCTTGTAGCTAAATGCAAAGGAGACATAGCACAAGTTGCTGGACAGGATTTCTGGGAAAGATATTTAAGGTGGTGCTCAGCTGGTATGTCGTTCAGTCCTCATGCTCTCCCCACTTCTTCCTGCCCAGCCCAGAGGTGCAGGAGCATCTAGAGATGCTAGACATGTGGCATGTAAAGAAGGGTAGAGCAAGGAAATTGGAGGAGACTGCGTCTCCAATGACATCTTTAAATGGCTCCCCATTCAGGGACTACTTCCAGAAACAAAAGAAAAATAAGACACCCAATGCACTGCAAATTGGGTTTTCTGTGCTTGGGGCCAAATATAATCCCAAAGTAGATACAGAAACAACTGCCTCTTAAAATAAAAGCCAAACACATATAGGTTTAATAGAGATGGGAGGGCAGTAACTTTGTATCTAAAGGACTCAAGGCACTTTCTGAATTATCTAATTTATAACTTTAACATACCAGGAAATATATGGTCCCATAAGTATTTGGAACAACTCACATAATAGCTGCCTTTTTTTTTTTTTGAAGATTTTATTTATTTATTTGACAGAGAGAGACACAGCGAGAGAGGGAACACAAGCAGGGGGAGTGGGAGAGGGAGAAGCAGGCCTCCCACAGAGCAGGGAGCCCGATGTGGGGCTCGATCCCAGGACCCTAGGATCATGACCTGAGCCGAAGGTAGACGCTTAACGACTGAGCCACCCAGGCGCCCCATAATAGCTGCTTTTGTCAGCCAAATAATGAAAACCTCTTAAATGCTAAAAAGTGGCCAAATATAAAAGTGAATGTCACTAAGACAATAGAGTCTAGAAAGAAACCCATACATTTACAGTCACCTGATTTTTGACAAGGGAGCCAATTCAAAAGAGAAAGGATAGTCTTTTCAACAAATGATACTGCAAAAGAGGATAGCTGTGTCCAAAAGAATAAAGCTGGACCTCTACCTCACATCATATATAAAAAGGAGCTCAAAATGGATCAAAAACCCAAATGTAAGAGCTAAAAGTAGAAAACACTTAGGAAATCAATAGTTAGGTGTCGACTGATGCTTTGGATACACTATGGTTCTTTAGACATAACACTAAAAGCACGAATGACCAAAGAAAAAATAGACAAATGATAATTCACCAAAATTAAAAACCTCTGTGCTGGGGCACCTGGGTGGCTCAGTCAGTTGGACATTTGCCTTTGGCTCCGATCATAATCTTGGGTTCCTGGGATTGGCCCCGCATCAGGTTCCCTGCTCAGTGTGGAGTCTGCTTCTTCTTTTCCCTCTTTCTGTCTCTCCCCTCCACCTGTGCTCTCTCAAATAAATAAATAAAATCTTTTAAAAACAAAACAAAACATTGGGGCGCCTGGGTGGCTCAGTTGGATAAGTGTCTGCCTTTGGACCAGGTCATGATCCCAGGGTCCTGGGATCGAGTCCCACATCGGGCTCCCTGCTCAGCGGAGAGTCTGCTTGTTCCTCTCCCTCTGCCCTGCTCGCGCTCTCTCTCAAATAAATAAAATCTTTAAAACAAAACAGAACAAAACAAAAACCTCTGTGCTTTAAAGGACGTAAGTGAAAAAACCCTATAGAAATGGGGGAAATTTTCTGCAAATCATGTATCTGATAAGGGCCTAGTATTCAGAATACATATAAAGAACTCTTACAACTCGACAAAAGATAAATAATTCAAGTTAAAAAATGGGCAAAGAATATAGGTATAGAACCAAGAGAAATGGAAACCTATGTCTTTCCACAAAAATTTGTATAGGAATGTCCTGCAACATTGTTCGTAACAGCCCAAACTTGGAAACCATCCAGATGTCCATAAACTGATGGATAAACAAAATGGGATATAAATATATATTATATATATATAAAACTACATATAATATATATAATATTCCATTGTATGTCCAGTGTGTATACTGGAATATTATTCAGCCATAAAAAGGAATGAAGCATTGACACTGGCTGAAACATAGATGAATCTTGAAGACATTATGCTAAGTAGAAGAAGCCAGATATGAAAAGGACAAATGTTGTTGGATTCCACTTATATGAGGTGCCGTAATAGGCAAATTTAGAGGTTGAAAGTAGAGTAGAGATTACCAGGAGCTGGGGGTTACAGTCACCAGTAGTTTAATGGCTAGTGTTTCTGTTTGGGGTACTGAGAAAGTTTTGGAAATGCATAGTGGTGATGGTTGCACAGCATTGTGAATGTAATTAATACCAGTGAACTACACTTAAAAATGGTTAAAATGGTAATGTTATGTATGTTTTACCACAATAAAGAAAAAAGGAAAGGAATGGAGAACTATTAGTTCTCCACTATTAGTAACATGGATGAACCTTGAGAACATTATTCTAAGTGAAAGAAACCAGAACAAAAAGGCCACATGTTATATGATCCCATTATGCGAAATGTCCAGAAGAGGCAGATCCATAGAGACAGAAAGTAGATCAGTGGTTGCTGGGGGCTGAGGGGTGGGTAGTCAGGGGGAGAGGAAAAGAATGGGGGGGGGGGTGACTGCCATTGAATTGTATGTATGTATGTATTTAAGTAGGCTCCACACCCCCAGCATGGAGCCCAGTGCGGGGCTTGAACTCATGACCCTGAGATCAAGACCTGAATTGAGATCAAGAGTCAGATGCTTAGCCAACTGAGCCACCCAGGCACCCCTGAATTGTACACTTTAAAAGGGTGAATATTATCTCAAAAAATTTTTAAGTGAATGTCAAAGATAAGCAATAAAGTTTTTTGACATGGAATGTTAGAAATTTCTTTATTCTTACTTATTTTTATTAAGCACCAGCTTAATACTGCAGAAAATTTCAAATCACCCATTTTTCCCTCCCTCACCCAAATTCTTGATAAAGAGCTCTTCAAGTGAAGACATGCTCTCTTCTCTCTTCTGTATAAAACTTTATCAAATAAAGGCAAATAACTGTGTACATCTTGCTGTAAAATGCTGCCCACGGCTGTGGCAAGTGTCTGCTCAGGCTCCTTTCACTGTCCAGGTCCTGAAAGACTCTTGTTCATGAACTGCCTCTTCACAAAGCAAGTCCACCACTAGCAAGAGGGGATAAAACAGAAGGAACAGTGGTGGTCAAATCACAATGCAAGTTCTAGGTAAGGTCAGAATAGGAATTTATGTAATAACAAAATTTAATCTTGGTCTGTCATCCCTTATTTTATAAACTTCTTGACAACACGTTAAAAAATGTTTTTTTGACTCACAAGTCAAAATAATGACGACAAAAAAAGTAATACATTTAAGATATCTCACACAGAAAATCTGCCCTATGGGTTTACAATGCCCTAACATAAGAACAACCAACCAAAAATGTTTATTATATGCAATTCATTATGTAGTGTGACTCAGTGAATCCCTACCGTGTAGTTAAGCAACACTGCAATGCAGAAACTCAAAGTATTCTCGCCATAGAAAACCTTAGTTTGTTTAATAGTAGCTACATGATAAAAGGTTATTTACCAACTAAATAGGTAAAGAAGAGGGTCTTACCTTGCTAGGTTTATCATTCTGAGGGTCAAAAACTTTCTCACAAAGTCTCAGTCCAGTCTCTTGTCTCAGCTGCTGTAAGTAGGCCCTCATCACCTCTAAAATAAGGAACAGGCAGAACAATAAAAAAAATCCTGAGAATGCATCCCTCATGTGCTGGTCGCTGGTCTGCACAATGACGTTGGCAATACACTTCTACACATTCAAACAGGATTAAGAAACAGAAATGACAGTCCCAATGGTTTTATAACTATTTTGGTTCAAAAGATTCTCTATGTGTTATACTTGTTACCAAGAATCTTTTTTTCTTTTTTTTTAAGATTTTATTAGAGAGAGAGAGAGAGAGAGCACGCAAGCAAGGGGAGAGGCAGGCAGAGGGAGAAGCAGACTCGCCACTGAGCAGGGAGCCTGATGTGGGACTCGATCCCCAGACTCTGGGATCATGACCTGAGCTGAAGGCAGTGGCTCAACCTACTGAGCCACCCAGGTGTCCCGCCAAGAATGTTTTGAGAGAGTGACTGGTAAGATATTATCCGTGCTATGATTCCACTCTCGACGTGTACACCAATCAAGACAAGCAAAGAAGGGGGGTAAAAAGTCAAATGGAGGAGATCTTGTGCCATAGAGAGGAAGGAAGAAACCCTGTTCTTACCATCTTCCTGTTTGTTTGCAGGTTTGGCATAAATTGCATTAAGTGGAAAACCAGGCTCTCCAGGAATGGGAAAATTAGTGATTCCCAGCGTATACATTTCTTTTTCACCTTGGCTTTTGGAATTGCACTAAAAAAAATTATACACACACACACATACTTTACAGAGAAAAGGATAATAACATCCAATTTGTAATTGTTTTAGTCTAAGTAGATATGCCTGGGATTACTAATGTATTTGGGTACCCTTCTGCAATCTAGGGAAGTCTGTGGACTCCTCAGAATAATGTTTTATTCATTTATTTATTGTTTTACTTATTTATTTAAAATATTTTATTCATTTATTTGTCAGAGAGAGAGCGTGCATGAACAGGGGGAGCGGCAGAGGGAGAAGCAGGCCCCCCACCGAGCAAGGAGCCTGATATGGGACTCGATCCCAGGACCCTGGGATGATGACCTGAGCCAAAGGCAGATGCTTAACTGACGGAGCCACCTACGCATCCCCAGAATAATGTTTTAAATGAATTAAATAAAATACACAAAATTATAAAAGAAATCAATTATGGTCAAACACAGTAATTACAGTATTAAAAAGCCAAATTTATGACACACACATGCATGTGCTTCTTTATTAACACAATGGGCCTAATAACTAAAATTTGAAGTAGTAATGAGTGAAAATAAAATTTCAAAATAACTTCAACTCTAAATGTAAAATGAAAATGCTGTCGGGGCGGGGAGCCTGCTTCTCCCTCTCCCACTTCCCCTGCTTGTGCTCTCTCTGTCAAATAAATAAATAAAATCTTAAAAAAAAAAAAAAGGAAAATGCTGTGATTTTTCCTGGAGAAAAAGTTACAGGTATGGCTAATGCTACTGTGGGTTGTTGCCTACATTAATAATTAAAGTAAATGCTAAATCTCAGTTACAAGTTAGTGAAAAGAAAGACGTAATCTTTTTCCCACTCAAGCTCATGAACCGTTGAATTATATCCTTGGCTCAGAGGTTCTTAACCTGGGGCTGAGGAAGATTTCTGTCTTGGGAAAATACATGCAAAGCCTTAAAACACCAGCCCCTTATCTTCTCATTAGTCAACTAAACTACTGTTTAGAATCCACATTCAGATTTTCCTCTTAGGTACATGCTCTAAGTGGGAGGAAGTATTATCTACTTGTCCTTAAAGTCTCAACAAGTCCAGATAGCTGGGAGGGTGAACATGTATCAGTATTGTGTTTTTCTGATAGACAATCATCCAAGTTTAATTACCTTCTGGAGTTTCTTTAGACACTCAGAAATGTAGAGAGTTATATATATCAAGGTTCTATCAGCTTCATTCTGCAGGGGCCGGGGTGAAGGGGGGAGGAGGAGGGAGGGAGGAACAAAAGTTAAAAACAGTCCTGATTAAAACATAACTATCACGTGTAATAAATGAATTCAAGCTTTGTCTTTTGAGTATCAACTGAAAACTGTGCAAATGTAGTTCCTACAGCATCAACAGTTCCCATTCGCCAAATGCAGTCTTCCCAAGCCACCTTTCTGTCCACTCCAGGGCAGGGAGCCACCTCCTGCCATCCAGAGCTGTGGGGCGGCCCTGCCTCTGGGTCCCAGGATGCTGTGCCAACAGCCCCTCCCTCCGTGTAGGAAGGAGAGTTTAACAGAGCTGCTTGGAAAGCCTGAGGTGTACCACATGGTCGGCTAACTTTTAAAACCTCCTCACTTCAGGATCTCTGCCGAGAACAAAAGCACTCCTGACTCTAAAGGAGGAAACAGCTATTTCACGTGTTTCTTGTTCCTGAAGAGCTCCAAGAGCCCAACTCTTGATCTAACCAAAAGGAAAATGTGAAGACTGGAGGTCAGATTTTACACAGATTTACAGTTAAAAAAAACAAACAAACTACACCTGCCCCTATTTTTAAGGGCATAGGATATTCAGGAGAGAATGAAATGTGGCAGAATTACATTTATTTACACCTACTACACACTTAGACCGAGCATTAAATACAAAAAACACCATGAATGTCATAGGATGTTTAGACTACAACTTGTAAACCAAGAGCCTGCAAAAAAGATTTCACACCCTTTTGATTCCAAAAGGTCAAAGTTTGTCAAGGAGAGGCTGAAGTTCCATATTCTAGAATATTATCAAGAAAAGTTGTTGACATTCCTGTAACTTGCTCATAGGATGAACTCAGAAAAGTTCTTTTTTTTCCTATTTCTCCCTCTCCTTTTCTGCCACCCTCCTTCTAAACTTCCTTTTGACCTCATTCCTCACAAGAGCTAAGAGCAGAAAGGAAGAAAAGGTAGCTGAGGGAAGGGTCAGGATCACTGAACTTTATTTCTCCATCTCAGGTCCAGGACATAAAAATATATAAAAATAACATAGCTACAATGTAGAATTTTTTTTAGTTTTGGACTGGTACATAAGAAAGCACATAGTAGGTGCTTTATTAATGTTGAATGAATAAAAGCGTCTAGATCATGGGTTGGCAAACTTCCTCTAGAGAAGACCAGATATTAAATATTTTCGGTTTTGTAGGCCAGTCTTTGTCACAACTATTCAACCCAGCTGCTGTGGCATGAAAGCAGCCATAGACAATATATTACAAAATGAATGTGGCTGTGTTCCAATAAAACTTTATTTAGAAAAAGAGGCAGCGGGCCAGATTTGGCCCTCAGGCTATAGTTTGCTGATCCATGGTATACACTTTGGAGGAAAAACGAGAAACTAATACTGATACAGAGTCTAATACTAAGTACTATTCTGGGTTTTTAAGGTCATGCAAACTCATTCAATTTTATTTACTCCTCAGAACAACCCTGACTGCCAGGTAGATTATTATCCCCATCAGAATACTAAATTAAATATTAAAAGCTCTGTACTTTACCTTAATTTCATAGTTTTTGAAGAAGACATTGGCCTTAAAATAATAGATGGCTTCATCCACAATATCTGTATCTTTTGCTAAACAGGACACAAGGGGAGAAAGGCAGAGAACATTAGCTAAATGTAAAAATAACACTTAACAAAGCTATAGAGAAAAAAAAAAAACAGCTCCATGGTCAAAAGTCTTGGAGTTGAGTGAAATAAAATGAGGCCATTGAAACATAAGGTCTTCAGAAACAATTTCTAGAAAAATAAGCACATGGTTTATTCTAATAGCTCTACTGTTTTTATAAAAAGTCTACTCATTAGAAACAAATTAATCAGTACAGAAAAAATATTTTATTGTCACCCTAAATCTCACTACCTAGAAATAACTACTATTAACATTTCGTGAACATCATTCCAGACATCTCTCAATGCACTTATAAAAATAGACTGAGACAGACTAACTTTGATAAAATCCTGTTTAAAAATAAAAAGTGTTCAATGTAATTTTATATGAATTAACATACTGCAGTTTCAGGGGGGAAAAAAAATCTCAATTGTCATTTAGGAACACACTGGGTTCACACATACGTCTTTCTTTTTATGAAAACTGTGACTTAAAATATACTTGTACAAGCTGTTCTAGGTGGCTGGAGACTGAGAAAAGCCAGAAATACTGTTGTGACAAAGATAGATCTCATTATACAATTTCTTGGGCAGTTTTTTGTTTTCCTTTTCTTATTTCAAAAAGGTCAAAATCCCAGGGTCTTGATATCCGGCAGGCGGCTGCAGCAATGCAGAGACAGTTTTGTTTTTGTTTTTCAGAGAGTTATTTATATTTCTTGTCCATAACCGCTATCCCTCTCACACCGCAGAAATGCAAAGTAATCCTGGAGGTTTAGTACTCTGAGTTAGCTGTCTTTAACCCTGCTCATTCCCCTGCTAAAGAATTTCAACAGAATTCTAACTCTAGACTCCTCTGTTCTTGCAATTTTCTTATCTGCAGAAAGGACACTTCCTCAGAGGATTCAGTGTTTACAAAACCAGTTAGTTCTAAACGTAACAATGTGGGGGTAGGGGGTGGGCTACAAGATTTGGAACCTAGAAGGGTGTTTGGCACACAAAGGTGTTAAAAAGGTGTCTGATGAATGTAAATAAATGAACCTGATTAATGCTAACAGTTATTTAGCTCCAGCATAGGCTTGTACTCCTTCATGATTCCAGTTCATTCTAATCCTGCCCCCTGGGGAAGAGTAACAGGTCATTCCCTGTCTACAGAAACCATGAAGATCTGGTTTCTTGGGGTCCTGTTCTCCCTCAAGGGCCCATGAATTGTTGCAGAGGTGGTAATTAGATAAACTCCATCCTTGGTCAATTGCATCTTCTGATATGCTACATGGTATTCTGTAAAGATCTGGAAGGATTCTCAAGGAATCTGGGACAATATTATTTTTTAATCTTTCTTTGCACTGTATTTCTTTTAGATTATTTTTCTTCTTTTTGGTCTTTTTTTTTTTTTTTTCCATCTGTTCCTTTTCCTTCATCTTGGATTCAAGTAAAAACTGTGGTGATTTACCAAATTTATTTAGTTTACTGAACTTTCAACTGATGTTGAAAACAAAATTAAAAAGAGGTCACGTCAAATAGTCTGGCAGAGGATGAAGATGGGTCAGTACAAAATTGGTAATGAAAACCACGGTCTTAAAAACATTGAATGGAACTCTGATGCAGATGCTTGAATGGAACATGGTGCAGGGAAACCATGTCTAATATAATACAAATTATACTGTTGGCAGAACATCTCAGAATGTGTCAGAAGAGTCTAAAAAGAATGGGGCTTTCTAAACAGTAAGAAATGGTTCGAAAAAAGAGAAAGTGAGTACCAAAAAAGAAAGCAAAGATATAAAATTGAGAAAAGCAAGAGAAAGAATGTGTAATGTTACACAGGACACTTAAGATTTAAGATCGAGGTACTGCTGAAAATGAAGATCCTGAAGAATGAATAAGGGAAGTAGATATAGATGGGGTAAGGGGTTAAAATGTCTTGGGTTTTTTTTCTCCAGCCTTATGACAGAAAAAGGATGGGGACATGGTATTCTATAGAAGTAGCAGCATTAGATCACTTTGTAAGAACCAAGAGTGATGACAGAACAGTGTCGAGAATTAAGCACATTTCCTCTTCCCTCTCAAAAAAATATCCAAGAGAACTCAGCAGCAATAATACACTTTCTTACTCAATACAACATACATGACCTTGAAAGGCCTAGAGGGGCAATATCTATCAAGCAAACAGAAAATACAAGAGCAGTGTGAGACAGAGGACTGAGCTAAGAATTTGCCTGATGTGATAATGTCAGAGAGTTGCTAGATGTTTCCTACTAAAATCTGAAAATAATGGAAAGAAGTTTCAACTTACTCTCTCTAGGGGCAGGTCCTTTGAACTGACTTCTGATAGGCAACAGTGCCATGTTTCCAATGAGTTTGGTGTCAGGGTCCATGAGAGAAGAGTGGTAAGCCTGTAAGGTCAAGCCAGGTAAAAATACGGAGACAAAGAGAGCAAACGTCAGCGGGGCAGACAAGTAACATTTTTACAACGGAAAAAAAGAGGAACCCACCCAAGACTAACTAGGAGAGGAGGAAAAAGGGATGGTAGCAGCGATTTCCTGGAGCTGGCTTTTACTGCCTCATGAAAACTGAATGTTAAATTTTGTTTTGTTTTTTTGTTTTTTTTTTAAAGATTTTATTTATTTGACAGAGAGAGATACAGCGAGAGAGGGAACACAAGCAGCGAGAGTGGGAGAGGGAGAAGCAGGCTTCCCGCAGAGCAGGGAGCCCGATGCGGGGCTCGATCCCAGGACCCTGGGATCATGACCTGAGCCGAAGGCAGACGCTTAACGACTGAGCCACCCAGGCGCCCCAAGAAAACTGAATGTTAAATTTTGAGCAATTTTTAAATTTTTATTTATTTTACTATTTTATTTTATATTTTTTAAAGATTTATTTACTTGAGAGTGAGAGAGCACAAGCGGGGGAGAGGGGAGCAGCAAAGGGAGAGGGAGAAGCAGGCTCCTCACCAAGTAGAGAGCCCAATGTGGGGCTTGATCCCAGGACCCCGAGATCATGACCAGAGCTGAAGGCAGACGCCTAACTGACTGAGCCACCCAGGCACCCCTTGAGCAATTTTTAAAATATTTTTATTTATTTAAGTAATCTCTACACCCCACATGGGGCTCGAATTCACAATCCTGAGATCAAGAGTTACATGAAGACTGAGCCAGCCAGGCGCCCCTAAATTCTGAGGAATTTTGACAAATTTTGAGGCAAGCTGTTGTTAAACACAGCCATTACTAAAAATTAAATTATATAACTTTGTGATTAATTATATTAAAAACAAAGGTAATACTCAAAATTCATTACTTCCTATTTTAAATTTATTTATTTTTTTAAGACTTTATTTATTTGCGAGAGAGACAATGAGACAGAGAGCATGAGAGGGAGGAGGGTCAGAGGGAGAAGCAGACTCCCCGCCGAGCAGGGAGCCCGATGTGGGACTCGATCCCGGGACTCCAGGATCATGACCTGAGCCGAAGGCAGTCGCTTAACCAACTGAGCCACCCAGGCGCCCTACTTCCTATTTTAAAAAATTATTTTACTATTGTCTGTGATCCTAAGGTTATTTATAACTTTTGTATCTTTGTGGCGGAAATACTATGCAATGGTGTGCTACTGTGCATCTTCCAATTCCATGTTCAGTGACATTACATTGGTAACTGATGGGAGTATTTACACTATAGAAATAGGCAGACACTATAATAAATCAGGAGTACACTGCCCCCCCCCGCCCCCCCAGCTATAGTTAAACCAGAACTCAAGCACTGGCTTTTTAGTTCTACCACTTCCTGGCTATGTTTGACCAAGACATCACTTTTCTTCTCTTAGCCTGTTTCCCAATTTATAAAATGAAGAGTTATCTACTGCCCTCATTGGGTAGGTGTGAATTAAAGGAGCAGGGGAAATCGAATTTATGAGAGCAATCTGTATGCTGATTCCTAGTTCTGCTTTTTACAAGATGTCTGGCTTTTTAGTAACACAAGAAGCATACCTGTGCTTCATTCATATATTCACATATTCATTCATCCACCAAACGATTATCAAACACCTTCTATGTGCAAGGCATGGTGATAAATGGTATGCAAGACCAGTAAGATCTCTGCCCTTGAAGAACCTTCAAGCTAATGGAAGAGGCAGGTATTAAATAAGAAGTCACAGCAAAGTCCAGGAATGAGCACAGGACTTTATAAAGTCCTAGCTTAAAATCTGACTTTACCACTAGTACCGAAACCTTGGGTAAGTTACTGTACTTCTCTGAGCCTCAATTTCCTCCTCTGCAAAATGGGAACAATGAGTATCTACTTCACAGGGTCACTGCGAGGATTAAACGGGATAATTTACATGCAATGTGTAGCTCAGCGCCTGTCTGGCACGTATCAGGCATCGAATGGTACCAACGGGATTCATTAAGTAAGTATCTCTAACTATGGCTTGCTCCTTTTTGTCACAGGTATGCTTCATCTAAAGCAGCCTCCACTCTCACCTTCACCAGCTGTCTTGTTACCCATCTATTTCCTTCATCACATTTGTCACTATCTGAAACTATCTTAGGGGTGCCTGGGTGGCTCAGTCGGTTAAGCCATAGACTCTTGATTTAGGCTCAGGTCAGGATCTCAGGTGGTGGGATAGAGCCCCCCTGGGGGCTCCGGGCACTGCGCTCAGCGGTGGAGTCTGCTTGTCCCTCTCTCTCTGCTCCCCCGCCCCCAGCGTGCTCCCACTCTCTCTCTCTCTCTCAAAAACAAACAAAAAAACCCAACAACTTTAAAACTATCTTTTTTCTTTATTTCCGTTTACATGTTTGTCTGTCTCCCCATTAGAAGGTAAACTCCTTGAGCGTAGGGATTTGTTGGCCTTATTCACTGCTGTGACAGTACTTGGCATGCAGCAGGTGCTCAGTAATATTTTTTGTGTGAGTAATCACGTTACTGAAGCTCCTTTTCCTCATCTTCAAAATGGAGACCATGATGGCGATAAATTCACCCCACCAGACTGGCTGTCAGAAATGAAGGACAACCAGACTACAGTCAGTTTTACTCCTGCTCTGATGCACACGAAAACAGAAACATTTGGAAACCAGGAGCGGGCCCTGCATCCGCTCCGGCGGCCCCTACACCCAGCAGCGAAGGGTGGCCACCACTGCCGGGGCGACAGAGAAGGAGTCCGGGAAGTGGAGTATGACAGTGATAAGCAGCGGGAGGGACCCGCCCCCTGGGGTTGAGGAGGAAGTGGGCCTGCGGCGGGGACAAAAAGAAGCCGGACCCCAGACTTGAGAAATTAAAAATAAAAAGCACAGCCCTTGGCTTCTCAGCTCTAGCGAATCTTCGGGGATCCTGCTGGAGTAGGGGAGTACAGAAAGAGCGAGAGAAGGGGTCGGCACTGGAACGGAGGGGGCGAGAGGGGACGAGGCAGCCTCCTCTGCACGCTCAGGGTCTCTGGCCCACTCTGCCGCGGCCCCGTCCCCCCTGGCCGACACCCCCGGGCCGACCCAGTCCTACAGCGACCGGCCCCCTTTCCTCGCTTCTCCCCTTCTCAGGCCCCGCTTCTTCTCTGCCCTCCTCCGCCCGCTTCTCTCAGCTCACGCACGATTTCTCGCTGCTCCCCCCCAGCTCTCGCCATCTCCCCACACCGCGAATTGGGCCCCGGTACCGGCATCTTGGCGGCGCTGGTGTTTCAAGATAGACGAGGAGGTTGGGGTTCAAGCGCGGCGCTTCCGGTCCGGGGGCCCGGGCGGGGTAGGCGGAAGTTAGGCGGAAGGGGAGGGTGAGGGGAGGACGCGGCACTTCCGGTCCTGCTGTCCCGCCGCAGGCAGCTGCGGCTGCGCACAGTCGAAGGGACAGCAGAGGGCGCCCGAGCACTAGGCAGGGGCTGAGTGCTGCGCATGCGTAAAGGGTGCGCGAAAATGGGGCTAGATTTTTGGGTTACAGAATCCTTGGTTTTTCCTCAGAGTTCATTTTTTCAGTGAATCATTCTCTGGATCACGCTATTTTATTTTTTTTTTTATTTTTTTATTTTTTTTAAAGATTTTATTTATTTATTTGAGACAGAGAGAATGAGAGAGAGCAAGCACATGAGAGGGGGGAGGGTCAGAGGGAGAAGCAGGCTCCCTGCCGAGCAGGGAGCCCGATGCGGGACTCGATCCAGGGACTCCAGGATCATGACCTGAGCCGAAGGCAGTCGCTTAACCAACTGAGCCACCCAGGCGCCCTGGATCACGCTATTTTAAATTCAATCCCACTCCACTCCCCTGCGTCATTCTTATTTCCCTCTTTTTTCCTTAGTTATGATTCTTTTATTATTTAGCTTACTTTTGGTATTTGTTTCCCCATCCATGTGAACGTCAAAAAGGCTGGGATTTTGTCCGTTTGGTACAATATTGCATCCCCTGCGCCTGTAATAGTGATATACGTAGTAAACATCAATAAATATTTGATGAGTGAATGAACCCAACTGGTTCGTTCTGGATTTTACAATGGGTAAAGGGGAGCTCTCTGAGAAGGGATTTATGTATTACTCTGTACTGCAGGTTTTTTGCGTGTAAAAACTGAGAAAGTGGACTCTGGGTTTGAATCCCAGCTCCAACATTTACTAGCAGTGTAATCCTGGGCAAGTTAATTAACCTCTCTGTGCCTGTTTCCTGAAAATGGAGAGAATAGTACTTACCTCATTGTTTCATGAGGATGAAATGAACTACATGTAAAATGCTTAAAACTCACATGCCTGGAACACCCTAGAAGTTCAGGAGTTTTTTACCTATTACTAGAAAGCACTTCATGTGTTAGTTCGCAAACTGGCCCTTCTACACAGAGGCTAAGGACAGACTGAAGAATCCAGATGTACAGGTGGTGGTTTTAATAAGCGAGGGAACTTACTTGTGAGGCTTATTGTTAAAGGGTTTTGTGTCCCTTTAGTGCCTGCAGTTCTTGGTCACGCTACTTTGAAGAATGAAGAGGTAGACCAGACGAAGAGTGGTGGGCAGCAAAGTTTATTGAGCAAGAGAACAAAGCTCCCGGAGAGGGGAGGGAGAGGGACAGAAGTGGGTTGCTCTCGGAGTTTCTACGTTTAGGTGTTTTATGAGCTCTTTTGTGTCTGTATACCTATTAGGTTTAATGTCCACGTGCTGGTCTTTTTTTTTTTTCTGACATCTGGGAGTTTGTCTTACTTGCCCCTTGCCTGTGATATTGACAAATGCTTTTGTGGTTAATTGTTTTGTTTTAGGACATTTTGCATAAGTCATTTCTGCAAAGGCTGCAAAGCAGAATGTCAGTGTGGTCCTAAGCTGCAAACAGGATGTCAGTGCTGTTTTATTTTAGCTGTCCTGACTCCATATTTTCTTGTTGGGAACCCTGGCCCTGACTACCTAACTGTCCAACTAACTCCTAACATTATCTCTGGCGAGGCAAGAGTAGATCTCTCCACCCACCTACCTGCCAGAATCTTTTAAGTTTATATGGAGGCCTTAACTGGGTTCAGTCACATCCAGTGGTCTCAACACCTTATTCTCTCCAGACTGTGTCCTTGGAACATCTCCCACTGTGAGGGGTGGGAGGGGTGAAGAACCTCCCACTGCCTGGGCCCAGTTCAAGGATCAACCAGTGGTCACATCCTCTTGATTATCTTCCCCAACATCACCTTAAGAGCCAAGTTCATTGCTACCTCAGGCTATTTCTCCTGCCAGTCCCTCAGACTGGAATACTCTGCTCTATGTTCCCACAAATGATTTCTCATTCAGGTTTCTGGCCAAATAGTACCACTCAGGAAACTTCTTTTGACAATGAGCCCCAAGTAGTCCCTTAGTCATTCTCCATTTCATTACTGTTTTCATTTCTTCCCATTCCTTATCGAGGTTTCCTTGCTTATGGTCTCAAGGGCCCTGTATGTCAGCTCCATGAGAATAAGGCCTTGTCTGCTCTGAGTGCTCCCATTTTATCCCCAGTGCCTGGCACCCACCAGTAAATTTTTTCCACAGAATCATGTCAGGCTCTCTGCCAAGATAATGAATTCCTTGAGGACTGGAATAGACATACGCATCTTTGAAACCTGTGTCCAGAGGGGAAGGAAATTCAATCTGGCCCTTCACTTCCTGCCCAGAGGCACATACTAGACTCTCCAGAAGCTGAACCAGGGAAGAATAGCTCTAGGAGCAACGAGGGCAAATGAAGTTGCCTTTCCTTTCTTCCATAACAATAAAATTTCTAAGAATTAGCAATACTTGGAGATCAGGGTGTTTTCACCCATTTGTACTCAGGGCCACAGGGAGAGCCCCCAAGCAGGACAGCACATTCCCAAGATGCCCATTCATGTTCTCTCCTGATTGCCCCCATGACAGCAGCTCACACCAATGGACCATGATGCAAATACCTGACTTTTGCCCCTAGCCTAAGCCCTCAGACACAAGTCACCACTGATAGCTATGGTTCCTCACACTTGGCATGTCTTTAGTTAAAACGGATCAAATGGGACACTGCAGGTGTACTCATGCTATCTAGCCCAAGAATGATTAAAAATTTAACCTGAGCTGTGGGTTTCCTATAAGGACTTAAACTGTATTAGCTGGGGCGCCTGGGTGGCTCAGTTGGTTAAGCGACTGCCTTCGGCTCGGGTCATGATCCTGGAGTCCCGGGATCGAGTCCCGCATCGGGCTCCCTGCTCGGCAGGGAGCCTGCTTCTACCTCTGACCCTCCCCCCTCTCATGCTCTCTCTCTCTGTCTCATTCTCTCTCTCAAATAAATAAATAAAATCTTTAAAAAAAATAAATAAATAAAATAAAATAAACTGTATTAGCTGGACGATCCAGGGCCAAATGGCCAATGAAGCTAGGTCCCGTTGAGGATTAAATGAAAGAGATTATGTAAAATATTTCTTAGCATAAGGTCTTGCATAACTCATTAAGTTAGATTCTGTTTTGTTTTAGCAGGACCTGGCCCATGGTAGATGCTAGAGAAATATCTGTTGACTGACTAGCCACTTTGCATGCTTTCACACCCAACGCTACTGAACTTAAAAACACTGAAAATAAGCAATTCAACCAATGTGCACATTAAAAAGAAAAAAATTATGTCCTTGACATTTTTGTGTGCATCTGTTATTATTCCAGTAAAGTGTAAATTTTTAAATGCTCAGCATCTACAAACTGCATTTTTAAGAAATCAAGGACTATATTTTGACACCTGGGCAAATTTATTCATTCAAAAATTTGCCCTGAGTATTTCAAGTTCTGACTGGAAAACAGGAGTGTAATGAAAGGTTAGTGCTATCTTTCTATTTCTTTTATTTATATACATATATATTTTTTATTTACTATTTATTTATTTTTAAAAAGATTTTATTTATTTGACTGAGAGAGACAGTGAGAGAGGGAACATAAGCAGGGGGAGTGGGAGAGGAAGAAGCAGGCTTCCCGCTGAGCAGGGAGCCCAATGGGGGGCTCAATCCCAGGACCCTGGGATCATGACCTGAGCCAAAGGCAGACTCTTTTAACGACTGAGCCATCCAGGCGCCCCTACATATATATATTTTAAAACATTTACTTTTCACTTTTTAATTACACAAATGATACATTTTCAGTGTAAGAAAACTCAGACATACAGATAAGCAATGGTCTTAACTATGTCCTTCCAGATTTTTTTCCTTTGGACACAGGTGTATATTTTGTTACAATAATTCCTGCCTCTCCAAAAAACCTTCGAAAATAATAAAAATCAAATAGTAAAAATAAAGGCAGACTGGGTCCTAACTGTACCACTGATGCTCATTTATATACAAGTCTATGTGCATTCATGTCAATTTCAACATTTAAAATCTAAATTGATGTTGTTAAAATACTAAAAGATTCCACTTGAAACATCAGCCATTTCAAAATAACTAGAATTTGACTCAGGCATGCTGCTGATAAAGAGCCAAGTATTGCTTTTTTCATTAAAACAGGTAGCCTTCTAGTATTGCATCCCTCTAAGAGAAGAATGTCTTGCTGGTTCAGTAGCAAGTGCTTCACGTATATAGTTACTCTGATAAATTCTTCATTCCTTCTGGTGTCCTTGAAAATATTCATCAAACACAGAAGAAGAGTCATCTTCATGTTCCTGACACAAAGGAAACACAAAACAGAAAATATTCATTTCCCTTGTTAGACCTAGCATGTGCTCACCTATTTTTCAGGTAATGGTCTACCAGGAGATAATGCCCAGCTGTATCTTTTACAGCGGCAAAAGGTATGATTGATAGAATTTTTCCAGCTATGTGGTAAATTAAAATACTTATATCTCATTGGAAGCATTTTTACTTGAGTTTATACTTGCTGACCCTCAGCTAATTTGCTGAGACAGTGGCCTACGACAACTACCATCAGGCTTCCCACTGACAAATGTGAGGGCGGCCCAAGTTCAACTGGATTTCATCCCCTCTTTGTACATATCTCCAAGCCCTGAGGACAAAGAAACTTGGTAATAGTGCCTCAATATCAGGTAGAATGAAACTGATACTGCTTGTTGAGCACAGATGTCAATTTCAGACATCGCCCCTCGACACACCTAGGTTACTACTGCTGCTAAGACAAAATCTGAGGAGTTGCTGGGATTATGCAGGAGGCCAGTGAGTGCTGGCAAACATGGTTACCAAAAGCCAATGATCAAAAATTACCTTTGGTTCTTTGAATTCTAAGTCTTCTCCATACTGAATGGCAAAATCAATATGCTGTAACACAATGTTTATGCTTTCTTCATCCGACTGATCGTAAGGCAAAAATCGAACCATGCTGTAGTCATCAATCTACAAGTTGGGGATTTCATAAAGGGTCATTCTGAAGCTGTACAAAATACTTAATTTCCAACTTACATTTTAGTTTATAACCAGTTATACTTCTGATTAAAAACATTTGTGTGTGGAAGGATGGGGAAGGAGGGAGACAGAGCAAAAGCAAATCATCATTGATTTTCCTGGCCTCTGACCTCCCAGAACACTCATTAACTTATTACTTAACTAGACACTTACTGTTTCATAGATATTTATCTGAATTCAACAACCATCGGAAATTTCAAAAGGGCACAGACAGTTCTGAACTCCCCAAATGGTTTGGAATAATAGGCACGTCAGTTAACTTATCAGCTCCTAGCAGTAACTACTTCTAAATTAAACTACTGACCAGCTAGCCCACAGCCTGCCTCCACCCGCCTCCCCTTTGCAAGGAAATACGATTGGACTGTGCTTTCCATAACGGTGGCCACTGCCTGGCTATGGGTAAACAGCTAACCAGATCATTTAAAAAAGCTTGAAAAACTTACCAGTCCACATATAGCTTTAGTCAATTTTTTGAATTTTTTGCTTCTTAAGTCACTTGCAGAATCGTCTAATAAAGAATACATGTCTGGGTCTAGAAACCTTCGAAAGTGAGAAAGAAGACTGATGAATAAAAGGAAGAATAAATCAGGAAACTAGATTTGTAGACTAACAGAACCTCACATCTCTGCAATTAAGATCTGACGATAATGGAAGAAGTAAACTCACTTTTCAATTTCCTTTTTAGCTTTCTTGCTCAGCAGATCCATTTTTGTCATGATGTTAACTTGTGGAATTTCTAGAGAGATCATAGCACTCAGGGCTGCCAAGATGCCAGAAATAAACTGAAGGAGGGAACAGAAAAGGGAAGATGGAACTGTTGCCAACAAAATTTGCTGGTCTCCACATAAAAGAGAGGATTTTGCTCCTCACAGGAACAAAACTGGCCTAAGTAAAAGAAATGCTCATCCTAAAGAAAAGACAGTCCACTAATCAGATGGTTGACCTTTGGCTTCCAAAGGTGAGAATAAGGAGGGAAGAGGTAGATTTAATTTACAGTGATCATGGGGCACCGGACTGGCTCGTTTGGCAGAGCATGTGACTCTTGATCTCTGGGTTGTAAGTTCGAGCCCCACGTTGGGTGTAGAGATTACTAAAAAATAAAGTCTTTTAAAGGGGGGGAGGGGCACCTGGGTGGTTTAGTCAGTTAAGTGCCCAACTCTTGATTTCAACTCACATCATGATCTCAGGCTTGTGGGATGGAGCCCCACATTGGGCTCTGTGCTAGGCATGGAGCTGGCTTGAGATTCTCTTTCTCCCTTTCCCTCTGCCTCTCCCCTCACTCTAAAAAAAAAATTTATAGTGATCACAAATCTCAATTTAGATGGTATCTTAACTTCTTTTCCCACTGAATATTCCGTAAGAGTGATTAATGGGAAATATAGTTCATAAACTAGACAAAAGGCTCTCAGAGAATTAAAAATACTCATAAAATATGCATCTGCCTCATTTTTCTTGGTAAGTAGTTTCCCCAAATCTATATGATATCATAACATCATTTTTGAGTTAAAAATATGTCATTACAACAACTGAATAATAAAGGATACTAAATTATTCTGGAATACAGTTTCTGAAATGTCCAGAGTGTGAAATCAGAGTCCTTAAAGGAGACAGTCATCTGCTTGTACCCACAACTAAAAAATCGACAAGATTGGGGCGCCTGGGTGGCTCAGTCGGTTAAGCGACTGCCTTCGGCTCAGGTCATGATCCTGGAGTCCCTGGATCGAGTCCCGCATCGGGCTCCCTGCTCATCAGGGAGTCTGCTTCTCCCTCTGACCCTCCCCCATCTCATGCTCTCTCTCTCATTCTCGCTGTCTCAAGTAAATAAATAAAATCTTAAAAAAAAAAAAAAAAAAGACAAGATTGATCTTCAAACCTTGAACGACTCCACCATGAACTGAGAATCAACGAGAAAAACTCCACAAACTCGGAACTCCCACTGTTCCAGCTGTTGGACCAGCTGTTTCATCACGGGCAGGTGCGTATACAACTCAATCTGACCTACATGAAGAACAGGACAAGACTAATACAAACAGGAAATATGTAGTCATCAAACTACATGAAAAAAATTTTCCTATAAGATGGTTTAAAAAGGGAGTCAAAAGCGAGTGCTACCAAGGTGTGTGTTTTTTGGGAATATTCATCAAGCTGTATGCTTAGGATGTATGTGCTTTTCTGTGGGTTCAATTAAAAACAAGGGAAAATATTCTCTCTCTCTCAAAAAAACGGGGGGGGGGGCGCGCCTGGGTGGTTCGGTCGGTTAAGTGTCTGACTCTTGATTTCGGCTCAGGTCCTGAGCTCAGGGTTGTGAGATCGAGCCCCACACTGGGCTCCAATGGAGCCTGCTGAAGACTCTCTCCCTCTCCCTCGCCCAATCCTTGCGCACACACACTCTCTCTCTAAAAATAAAAAATAAAGTAAAATAAAAGCAAGGGAAAATAAAGTGAGAGCCACAACTGATCATAGCTAGGTCAGCCTCAAGTCTAAAACCCACAACCTGGCTTAAGAAGCTGTGTGTGATTATCTGTCCCCTGCCAGCCTCACCTCATGACATTTCCCTGGGTTTTCAGCACTCCAGCCACCCTGCCCTTCTTGGTGCCCCAAACTCACCTCCCTCCTTCCCGCCTCAAGGCTTCTGACACGTTGCGCCTCTGCCTGGACCATGGTCTCCCTCAGCTTCACCCCACAGCCCAGCTTACAGACCACTTGATCAGAAGCCTCCTAATCTGGTTGCTCCGTGATGGTCTGTGCTACTCCTGTGGAGCACCTGTCACAAATTAATATTAAATGATAATCCAGGTGCTTTTGGTCCTTCTGTCTAGTACTCCCACTTGACTGTGAGCTCCACGAAGGCAAAGACCATGGCTGCCTGGGTCTCTATGGTATTCCCATCATACAAACTAAGCACTCAGTAAACTCAATGAATGAGTTAGAGCCAATAAATAAGAGCTTTGTACTTCACTGCAGTATAGTTAAGAGCGATGAAGGCTCAGTCCACTTTCTCTCACTGGGGACAGAATTAGCACAGCTGCAAGGAAAATGTCACATTCAAATTGCTGACTTACCTGGACAGTCAAAAAGGATATAGTCGTCCTCTACGTGGCCAAGACAGTTCTCTAGCCAGTCAAAATTATTGGCAAAGTACTCCATGCAAAATACCAATCCTCCATTGGGACCAAACCGCAGAGAGTCATCCTCCATGACATCATCCACCTCAATCAGTTCCCGGATGTCTGCAAAAGATAGACAGGGCCCAGAATATAAAAACATCCATTCAAAAGTTGTTATCCTCGTTAGTGATAGTTAATAATTATATAAAAACTCACATATGTAAAACTATTTCTGTACATGATTATTCACTGTAGCAGTGTTCGTGGGAACCAATTATTATTATTTTTTTTAAAGATTTTATTTATTTATTTATTTGAGAGAGAGAGAATGAGAGATAGCACGAGAGGGAAGAGGGTCAGAGGGAGAAGCAGACCCCCACTGAGCAGGGAGCCCGATGTGGGACTCGACCCCGGGACTCCAGGATCATGACCTGAGCTGAAGGCAGTCGCTTAACCAACTGAGCCACCCAGGCGCCCGTGGGAACCAATTAAATTACTGTACAGCCAGACAATGGAATCCTACATGGCCATTAAAAGGAGAAGCTCTTTAAATATGGATGTGATATAATCTCCCAAGTATACTTTTTAAAATTAATTAACTAATTAATTGAGAAAGAGTGCGTGCATGCACGTGCACGTGGGAGGAGCAGAGGGAGAGGCAGAAACCCTCAAGCAGACTCTGTGCTAAGCACAGAGCCCGATCCAGGACTCGATCTCACAACTCTGAGATCATGACCTGAGCTGAAACCAAGAGTCGGATGCTTAACCGACTGAGCCACCCGGGTACCCCATCCCATCCCAGGTATACTTTTAAGTGAAAAACGCAAGGTGCAGAACTCTGTGTAAAAATGCCATCACTTGTGTTAACAACAGCAACAACAACAAAAAGACAAAGATTCACTACATATATATAATACATATATTTGATTTTATATCCATAGAGACTCTGTGGAAAGACACCCTAGAAACTGGCAACATTGGCTGCCTCCAGGGAGGGGAGCCTATTACCAGGACACAAACCTGGGAGGGAGACATTCTACCATATACTTACGCTTTTGTACCTTTTCCATTTCAAACCACGTCAATATATACTACCTATTCTAAAATGATTAAAACCAGGTGCGCCTGGGTGGCTCAGTCGTTAAGCGTCTGCCATCAGCTCAGGTCATGATCCCAGAGTCCTGGGATCAAGCCCCACATCGGGCTCCCTGCTTGGCAGGAAGCCTGCTTCTCCCTCTCCCACTCCCCCTGCTTGTGTTCCTGCTCTTGCTATATCTCTCTCTCTCTGTCCAATAAATAAATAAAATCTTAAAAAAAAAAAAAATGATTAAAACAAAACCAAACCAAGAAAACCAATTGCTGTGTTTTTTTTTTTTTAAGACTTTATTTGTCAGAGAGAGAGCACAAGCAGGGGGAGTGAAAGAGGGTGAGGGAGAAGCAGACTCCCTGCTGAGCAAGGAGCCCAATGTGGGACTCAATCCCAGGACCCTGGGATCATGACCTGAGCTGAAGGCAGATGCTTAACCGATTGAGCCACCCAGGCATCCCCCAATTGCAGTTTTTTTTTTGTTTTATTTATTTATTTATTTATTTGACAGAGAGATAGAGAGCACAAGCAGGCAGAGAAGCAGGCAGAGGGAGAGGTAGAAGCAGGCTTCCCCGGGAGCAGGGAGCCCGATGCGGGGCTCGATCCCAGGACCCTGGGATCATGACCTGAGCCGAAGGCAGCCGCTTAACCGACTGAGCCACCCAGGCGCCCCCAATTACAGTTTTTTAACATGACCTCAGGGAAGCTACTTAACCTCTCCATACCTTACTTTCTTTATTTATAAAATGGGGGACAAATCCTATATCCTGGGGTAGAAGGAAGGAGGCTCTATGAGATAATGTAGCTAAATCACCCACAGCAGGGGCTTAAAATTTTTGGTATATGCACAGTTCTCTTCTACTACTAATTTTGGAAATCTGTATTTATAACCTTCTCCCATAGGTTTTTTTATGTTTGTGCACAAACCTACAACCTCTGTTCACAGAGCACTGCCTCACTCATAGCCACGTTTATGTGGATAATACCTTCTTATGCACTTCTTCTCCCTATTCGAGGGGTAAACATCTGACTCAAGTTGGGACAATGAAACTGGACCTTCTAAAACGATGACTCAAGGACACAAGTCGGTCATTAAGACATCTGGACCAGAAAGTGATATGAACCTGAAGTTGGTGGCACCTTGCTGGGCCCTGTGAAGCTGAGAAAGTTCGTCTGTCTATAAGAGGGAGAAAAAGGCAGAGACAGAGAGAAAGCTAGTTTCAGTTTGTTAGTTTTTGTTTTGGGTTCTAGTCTCTCATTAAGCCTTGCGCTTGGGTTTTGTGAGAGATCCCCTGATTCCTTCTAAAAAAACCCTCCTTTTACGTAAGCTGGCTTCAGTGCTTTCTGTTGGGTGCAACCAAATGATCCCAAAGAAATGCAAAGTTTTGTTGTTGTTGTTGTTTTGAGGGGCAGAGGGAGAGGGAGATAGAGAATCTTGCAGGCTCACGCTTGGTGCAGAGCCCAACACAGGGCTCGATCTCACGGCCGAGATCACGACCTGACCCAAAATCGAGCCGTTGGATGCTTAACTGACTGCGCCACCCAGGTGTCCCTGCAATCCCTTTCCCTGCGGAAGATGACTATTTCATACTTCCTCCTCTTCATTCAACCCCTGCCTCCCCAACCCCGTTCACACTCACTTCCAGCCACCCTCATGTCCCGACGGCACACATGTCATTAACAGAAATCAGAAGCCAACAAAAGAGAATTTCTCATATTCCCACCGCCAGTATTACATGGTGTCTTCCACCCTGTCTTCCCTTTGGTTACAAAAGCAGCAGCATCCCACTCCTGGGGCACCTGGCGGCTCAGTCGGTGGAGCATGAGACTCTTGATCTCGGGGTTGTGAGTTCAAGCCCCACAGTGGGTATAGAGATTACTTAAAAATAAAATTTTTAAGAAAAAAAAAAAAGCACCCCACTTCTAGTGAAGGCAAAACTCCCCACCTGTGTGGGGTCCCTCTCCCCTTTCAGGCTCTTGAAGTTATTCCCACTGTTTGGCGTTTTCAGTTTTTCTTTTTCTACTGGATCTTTCTGCTCAGCAATCAAGTCTGTTCCATAGTTAGCATCTCCAATGTTAAAACGCAACCTCCCTTGACCCTCCTACCCCCAGGTCTCACTCCACTTCTCTGCTCCTTTCACAGGGAAGCTGATATTGCATCACCTTCAGGCCACTCCTCAAACCACTGCCCTGAAACTGCTAGGCAAAGTCACCTCCATCTCCATGTCCCCACATTTAACAGCCACTGTATTTCTGTCCTCATCTCCCACAACTTCTATCATACCTGATATAACCAAGCACACAAGCGTTTTCTTCAGTCTCTCCTCCTGGCTTCTGCGATGCTCCACTTTCCTGGCTTTCCTCCGACCTCACTGACTCTACCCCCTCCTCGAGAACTCTGAAGATTAGACAACTTCAAGGCTTGGTCTTGGGTTCTCTTCTCTCCCATACTTCCTCCCAAAATGATCTCATCCAGTCCTGGAACTTTATCTTCTGTTTATATGCTGCTGACTCGCAAGTTTATACCCTGAAGCCAGACCTTGTCCCTGAGTCCCAGACTATTATATCCAGTTGGTTCCTTGACATCGCCTCTTAGATATCAGATGTCTCAAGCTTAGTGAGTGCAAAGAGAACTGCCCCAAACCTAAACAGATTTGTCTTCCTTCCCGATAAATGGTATCATACACTCTCTTCAGCAATTCAAGCAGTTCAAGTCAGATATCTAAGAGTCACCCTTGATGATTCCTTCCTTTCTTACACCGCTCTGGTATACAAAATGCCGCTAATTCTACTTGCAAAGTAGGTAACGAATCCACCTGCTTCTTTATATCTCCACCTTGACCACAGTAGTCCAAGCCACTCAGACATCCGCAATAGCCATCCTGCTCATCCCTGCTTCTATTCTTGACCCCCCAGAGTCCGTTTTTCATCTGAGAGCCAGTTATCTTTAAAAATGTATATCAGATGTCAATCCTCTCCCCTGCTTTAAATCCTCCAATGACATTCCACTGCTGACAGATGCTACAGATTGAATGTCTGTGGCCCCTCAAAATTCCTATGTTGAAAACCTAATGCCCAAGGTGATAATATTAGGAGGTGGGGCCTTTGGGAGGCAATTAGGTCATGAGGGTGGTGCCTCATGAATGGGATTAGTGCTCTAATAAAAGAGGCCCCAGAGAGATCCCTTGCCCTCTTCCATCATGTGAGGACACAGTGGGGAGTCGGCAGTCTGCCACCTAGAAGAGGACCTTCACCAGAACCCGACTATGCTGGCACCCCGATCTTGGGCTTCCAACCTCCAGAACCATAAGAAATACATTTCTGTTGTTTATAAGCTGCCCCGTCTATGGTATTTTGTTAAAGCAGCTCAAATGGACTATGAAAACAGGACAGAACCCAAACTTCTCATGTCCTACTAGCACGTACCCACTTCTTTCCTTCACTCATTACGCCCCAGCTCATTGACATCTTTGCTTTTTCTGAAACATACCAAACCTCTTCCTATCTCTAGGCTATTTATTGACCTGATGTTCCCTCATCTTGGAAGGCCTCTCCCCAGCTTGGTGAGGACATTACTATCTTCGGATCTGGGCCCAAATCTCCCCTCCTGAGACTTCTTCCCAACTACCTTTCCTAAAGCAAGCTATTCTTTTCATCGGCCTATTTGCTAGTCCTTATCACAATCTGTAATGTTTATCATTTTGCTCATCTCCCTGCTAAAAGGTCCATGAAGGCAAGGATAATGTCTGCCTTGTTCTCTGCTAGAACCCTGGTGTCTGGCATAAAGTAGGTGTTCAAAGACATCTGAATGATTACATTAGAAGAGTTTTATTTGAGGGGTGCCGGGGTGGCTCAATCGGTTAAGTGTCCAACTCTTGATTTTGGCTCAGGACACGATCTCACGGTTGTGAGATCAAGCCCTGAGCTGCGCTCCGCAGTGGGCGTGGAGGCTGCTTAAGATTCTCTCTCTCCCTCTCCCCCTCTCTAAAAAAATTAAATAAATACAATTTTTTTTAAGAGACAGAGGAGCAAAAAGTGCCCCTAAAAGAATTTTAAAAAACAAAACAGTTAAGCTGCTCACTTATACTATGACCTGCAGTAAACCCAATTCACCACAGCAGGACTGAGCATGGAAAGGGACAGAAGGGAAGTGTGATGAGGGAGGAATCTACTCACTTAATTCCTAAAGACCAAGAAAGGATACTGTCACACATGTCACCATGAGCGGATGTCACCAGATGACATTCAGCCTCATGCTGTTCACCATGAAACAGGGGAGCAGACTGTAATAATTAAGTTTTCAGCTTCTGTGCCAAGCGGCCAGCACTCACGGCCTCTCCACCCCCTTATTTTTCCTGAAGGAGGGGGAAGGCTCTGCTCAGGACTCACCAGCCATCACGGAATAGTTGAAGTGTTCTGCTGCAGGATCGAGGTTCACAACTTGCACAGACCGATTGAGGGCTTCACAGTGCTGGACCATGGTGGCACAGTAGGTGCTCTGGAATGTCACAAGGCATGAGGGGGTCAGAGCGACAGGCAGTCTACTGCTACCTCCTGCACCCCCAAAAGGACACCCTGTATCCCTTGATCGGTGTCCACTAAGGCCAAAACTGTGCCTTCACTGACCAAGAAGCTGACTGAAAACAGGAAAGGTACCGGGCTGGGAGTCGGGACACCTGATCCAGACCTGGCTGGGACTCACCGGTAACTTTAGCCAAAGTGCTTCTCTACTTTGCCCCTCAGTTTCCTCTTCTTTTTTTGTTTTTTTTTTTTAAGATTTTAAAGTAATCTCTACACCCAACATGGGTCTCAAACTTAACCCCAAGATCAAGAGTTGCATGTTCCACCAAATGAACCAGCCAGGCGCCCCACCCCCCAGTTTTCTTGTCTCTAACTGGATGGCCTCCACGATCACTAAGGCTCCTTGCTGCTCTAACATGCAGCAAATGGAATTTAAAGGGAAGACTTCTGATCATACCATGCAGCACCTAACACACAATGTCTCCACGAAGATGATTATAGTCCAAACAAAGCTTTAAGTAGGGTAGTCAGGGATGTTTCTGGGGAGGGGGGTGTTATGTTTGAGCCAAGGGATGTGAATGTGCTTGCCAAGCCAGGGGAAGAGTATTTCAAAATGAGAGCACACTGAGGTCAATAAATAGTCTAGAAGTGGACTATCAGTTTGCAACTTTTGGTTTAGAGAATTCCTTATCCCTCATGTAGTCCTTAACACACTATGTTAAAATCTCTAGGGTACTTGTCTGATTTACCCACTGTCTATTTAAAGGCAGGGATGTCTTTTATTCAGTTTTTTTTTTTTTAAAGATTTTATTTATTTATCTGACAGAGAGAGACACAGCGAGAGAGGGAACACAAGCAGGGGGAGTGGGAGAGGGAGAAGCAGGCTCCCCGCAGAGCAGGGAGCCCGATGCGGGACTCAATCCCAGGACCCTGAGATCATGACCTGAGCTGAAGGCAGTCGCTTAACCAACTGAGCCACCCAGGCGCCCTTTTATTCAGTTTTATACACCTAGGGACTAGCACTGGTACATCATAAATGTGTGGTAATTATTTCTAATTCACTTAATATGTTTGGAATATAAACTCTACAAGAACAGAGATTTGTGTGCATATGTGTGTGTGTGTTTTGTTCACTACACAATTCCCAAGGCCCAGAACAGTGCCTGGCACAGAGAACATGCTGAGTGAGTACTTCTAACAGTAGGCATCAAGAATTTGTAGGAAGGTACTTGTCTAACAAAATCATCTGGAATATAGAAATAACTTCTATCATGCTCAGTGACTTTTCACATATATTCTCTCTGCCTAAGAGGAGGCCCGCTCCATGCATCATACTATATTTTAATTGGCAAGGCATCTATCAGTCTTCCCAAATGGACTACAGACTTTGGGTAGGCAAGGGCTATATTACAGTCACATGTAGATCTCCTACACCCAGAATAGGTCAAACCTTAGAACAATATGTTCAAGACTGAAGCCAGACAACACCTCCACAGACTCCAGTGCTTCTCACACTCCTGTTATTTGACTAATACCTTCATTCATTTCTTTTTTTTTTTTTTTTAAGATTTTATTTATTTGACAAAGAGAGAGAGCACAAGTAGGCAGAGCTGCAGGCAGAGGGACAGGGAGAAGCAGGCTCCCTGCTGAGCAGGGAGCCCAACATGGGGCTCAATCCCAGGACCCTGGGATCATGACCTGAGCCGAAGGCAGACGCTTTTTAAAAAAATTTTTTTATTTGACACAGAGAGAGAGATAGTGAGTGAGAGAGCACAAGCAGGGGGAGCGGCAGGCAGGCAGCAGGAGAGGGAGAAGCAGGCTCTCCGCCAAGCAAGGGGCTTGATCCCAGGACCTTGGGATCATGACCTGAGCCGAAGGCAGCCGCTCAACTGACTGAGCCACCCAGGCGCCCCTTTCACCCATTTCTATATTTGAATGCCTCTCATATCATTCCACTCATACTTGTTTACAAGAAAAAAATTATACCTCTATTGTAAATAGAAAACCAGTTATATTTATAACATGAAGGTAACCATAAAATTAAATACCCTTAAAGCTCTTTTTGTCCTAGCTAAATATAAATGTCAAAAGCTCTAAGATCTGATCTCTGAAGAGACTTGGGAATTAAAGAAGTATTAAAGATATAAAGCATTAAACTGACAATTTCACTTCAATGCAAACTGAAAGAGGATTGAAAAGGGAGTAACTTTCTCAATATATGATTCAATGTTCATTAATGTTAGGCCTATGTACCTCCTAAAATCGCCTCTATATACAAGAAGTCCATGTTTCAAGCTCTGACAACAGTGATTTAAGACCTCATTTGAACTTTCTATGAGCGAGACCCGGCCAGATTCCGCAATTACACAAAACTGGATTCAAATTCCAGCCGTCACTTAGTAGCTGTGGGATCCTGGGCAAAGAACTTAACCTTTCTGGCGCTTGGGTGGCTCAGTCGGTTAAGCGGCTGCCTTCGGCTCAGGTCATGATCCCAGGGTCCTGGGATCGAGTCCCACATCGGGCTCCCTGCTCAACTGGGAGCCTGCTTCTCCCTCTGCCTGCGGCTCCCCCTGCTTGTGCGCACTGTCTCTCTCTTTCTGTGTCAAATAAATAAATAAAATCTTTTTATAAAAGAACTTAACCTTTCTGTGTCTCATTTTCTGTAAAATTCCCATCTGCAAAAGTGAGAATAACAGGACCTATCTCAGAGCGTTGTTCTGAAAATAAATTCGTTTAAAAGCAGTATCTGCGGCATAAGTATAATATAAACGTTAGCACCACCGTTGGTTACTTCACTTTCAAAACCGCAGCAACGAGCACTGAAGCCCAGGCAGCAGAAGCGCGCTGCCCAGGGGTCCCCAGTGTACGCACCCGCTGGTCCCTCGGTCAGGACTAGAACCTCCCTGCCTCCCACGAGCTCCGACCTTTCTCTTCTTCTCCCGCCAAATCCTCACCTTCCCGCTGCCTGCCGGGCCCATGACCAGCTGCGCATACCGAGGCATGTCGGCGCTCCCGGTAGCCGGTGCCGCCCGCCGCACGACAGAGTCCGACCGCCCCGCTCCCTTCAGCCTTCGCGCGGCGCTCGCTGAGTTCCGGGAACACCACGTGCGAACCAATCGCAACCCAAAGTCACTTTGTGCCTTCTGTTCCCGTGCATCCTTGACTACGGAGCGTCCCGCAGGTCAAATCTCGTGTGAAACGCGTTCTCAGGAAACTTCAGCTGGGGGCGGGGGGCGATTAAGGCGGGGAGGGGTGCGGGTGGGCAGTTTGCGTGTGTGCAGAAGTAGTTGGCGGAAATCGGCGGTTGGGACACTAGAGACGCCTGGTTGCCTTGGTGATAACGGCTAACAGTGCATCCCTGCGCCGGGGACTGTGGTCCTTGGTTAGCGTACTGATGTTTACCTATATGGTGACAGTCAAGATCTGCACATTGTAGAGGGTCTGGAATACTAAGGGTCCGGAAGGCACCTCCTGTTTTAGAGGGCATGTATATTTCCTTCCGCGACTGCTCCCTTCCACAAACCGTGCAAGCGCGCAATCAACTAAAGAACTCCTGCCCCTCCCCCAACTTAACTCCAGCGTCGTGCATCTGCCCTCCCCGCTCTCCCGAAGCTATTCGGGCAGTGTCCGGAGCACATCGGAGGGGGCTAGAATACGGCGTCCGCCTCTTCACCCCCAGTATCGCCCGGCCTGACGCACGCGTGCTGGCGGGGGAGGGGAGAGGGGAAGGCTGCTTCCGCACGCTGCTCGAGGTCCGGGCACCGGGGAGGAGATGCCCCGCCAGGGTCCGGGGTCCGGCTGGACAGAATGCAGCTCTTCCGCAGAGCCTCCCGCAGTAGCCGGGACCGAGGGTGGCGGCGGCGGGTGAGGCTGAGGGGCCCTGAGGGGTTGGGGAGGACGACGACCGGCCCCGGGTCGGGATCCCCTGTGGAGGGGGGGGTGGGAGCTGGCTGCTCCAATGGACTGGTCCCCGGTGGAGTGAGTGAGAGGAGGGGAGAACCTTTGTTGCGGCCGGGGTGGGACAGATGGAAGCCGACTCACTGTTTAGGGGGAGGGCTTGTGAGGTAAGGTTGAGTGTTGGTGCAATGACTAAACGCGGGGACTGCGACAATTGCCTGGGTGCATTTTTCTGCCCCGAGGGGGCGCTGCGAAACCTGCTGGAAAATATGCAGTCTCCCACAGGATCTCTACAAAAAGAGGGGGTTGGGGGGCCCAGCAGAAACAGAGGTTCAACGGAGGGCTTCCAAGTCAATAAATCAGTTCCGTGTGTGCGACATTAGCCACCTTTATGTCCAAGGAATTCATAATGCCGATGTGACAGATAATTATGAATATTAGAGGCATCTTGATCTTGACATTTTCTTCCCACTGAAGTTTTTCTTCATAAATCCATTTTATTTTGAGCAGGTTTCTTACTGTTATTTCCCGGATGCTGAAGACAATTAGTCTTCAGTACCTTCTCATCCCTTCCATCATCAGTTCTTCCCTAAAAGTGAGAGCTGCGGGGTGTTCCTCTCCAAAAGCACACAGTCATGGCTCCTGCTGCACCCATGACCATTATTTATATATATATAGTGGATCGAAGACTTTTTTTTTTTTAAGATTTTATTTATTTGAGAGAGAGAGAATGAGAGACAGAGAGCATGAGAGGGAGGAGGGTCAGAGGGAGAAGCAGACTCCCCGCCGAGCAGGGAGCCCGATGCGGGACTCGATCCCGGGACTCCAGGATCATGACCTGAGCCGAAGGCAGTCGCTCAACCAACTGAGCCACCCAGGCGCCCCGATCGAAGACTTTCTTAAAAAGATTTACTTATTTGAGAGAGAGAGTGCAGATGTGCACGGTAGGGGGGGGCAGAGGGAGAGAGAGAATCCTCAAGCAGACTCCCCACTGAGTGAGGACCCCGAGATTATGACCTGAGCCCAAATCAAGAGTCAGCCGCTTAACCAACTGAGCCACCCAGGTGCCCCTGGAAGACTGTTAAAGATGGGGTCTTGTCTTTTCTGTTCATTATAGTGCTTGACTAAGTGCTGGATCCTAATATATCAGGAGATCAATGAACACTTGGTCACTGAATAAATTGAAGGAAGCAGGAAGGAAGCCTGTTTTGTCTTAATTTGAAAGAAGAAAAAAGAACGTGTACAAAAATAAACATTCCAGACCAATTTATCAGTTCCAGTATACCTTAATTACATACAGTAAAGAACAAGATAGTCTTTTCCATATCAAGTTACTTTATTAAAAATAAAGAGAGCAAGGAAATACCACAGATAACACAGAAGCCCAAACTACTTTATTGAGCTCAGTGTAGGAATTAGATTAAGAGGCCTTAAAAGTAAGACCAAATCTGGCTTAAGGTAAATCCTTTCTAGTACGGTAAAAACCTCAGATAACTCACTTGGAAGAAGCCTGGAGCCATTAGGATATCACCAGGATTACAGAAGAAAATTTGCAAGATATTCCATCTGATGGAAACATGAAAAGTAAAAAGCATATACAATACTGTCTCTTTTTCATTTAAAATACTTTCTTTAATGCTTGTAAAGCTGTCAGTTATTACATATTATTTAAATCCTTTTCCCCCCCAACAGATCAGCTGGACATTCTTATTATCAGAATTCCAAAGGTATTGGTAAGTAGAGCATATAAAGCAGATAATACTTATAAATGACATGGTTCAGAGATGCTAATTTTGCTGTAACTACAAACACAGAGGCTTTTTAAAAATAGACTATTAGCATCCTGGTGAACTTAGTCTTTTAAGATTTTCAAAGAACAATCCAGCAGGTTCTTTTTCTCTTGTTAGGATATTTCACATCAAGCATTTTAAAAAGAGTACTTCAAAATAGCAATGAATCTGAAAAGAACTGTGTTATAACTGATGTTTGAAAAGCAAAGAGTATGGCCTGGGGTTTATAAATTGAAGGGAAAAATTCTAACTTGAACAACTTAATAAATTGAAGGGAAAAATTCTAACTTGAACAACTTCAATGCTGCTATTTTTCCTCTCACTTGAAATAAAGGATAAAGCTGCTGGAATTAAGAGAGTAAGACAAACCCCCAAAGGTGTCTCATTTTTTGGGGGGGGGAGCAATTTCAATTCAATGATATATAAACCTGGATTCATACTTTTCCTTGGAAAATATATAGTCCTTACAGTTACCTGAGAAAAACACACAAACACATATCTATGTGTATATACATACATAAAAATGCATATATACATACAAATAATATGGTTTTTAAATGGAATTGCTGGATCATATGGTGATTATTCTGTTTAATTTTTTGAAGAACCACCACACTGTTTCCACAGGGGCTGCACCATTTTACATTTTCACCAGCAATGCACATGGTCTGAGTTTTTCCACATGCTAGCTAACATTTGTTGTCATTTTTTAAAATGATAGTTATCCTTATGAGTATAAAATGGTACTTCACTGTTATTTTTATATCTCCCTAACGAGTAGTGATAGTGAGCATCTTTTCAGGTGCTTATTGGCCATTTGTATATCTTCCTTGGAGACATCCAAAGTCTATTCAAGTCCTTTGCCCATTTTTCAGTTGGGTGTTTCTCTTTGAGTTTAACTATTATTTTTTAAAAAGGTTTATTTATTTGAGAGGGGGAAGGCAGAGGGAGAGAGAATCTCAAGCAGGCTTCCTGCTGAGCGTGGAGCTGGATGCAGGGCTTGATCTCAAGACCCTGAGATCGTGACTGGACCCTAAATCAAGAGTCAGCTGCTTAACTGACTGAGCCACCCAGGAGCCCCTAACTAATATTTATAAATGTTTCATTTTCTGTAAAGAAATGTTATCAAGCTTTTGAGAAGTTAAATTTTAGTCCAGGCTATAATACACATCTCAGAAATATTGATTAGCAGGGACACAAAAGATATATTCTTAGCTAATTAGTCCACATTTATGACTTGAAAAAGGATTTTTTTTTTTTTTTTTAAAGATTTTATTTACTTATTCATGAGAGAGAGAGGCAGAGGGAGAAGCAGACTTCCCGCAGAGCGGGGAGCCCGATGCGGGACTCGATCCCAGGACTCCGGGATCATGACCTGAGCCGAAGGCAGACGCTTAACCATCTGAGCCACCCAGGCGCCCTTGAAAAAGGATTTTTAAAAAAATAAACTTTTATTATTATAGATTCCAAATTATATTTTAAAGGTCATAATAACAATTTCCAGATGATTTTCCCCTTGTTGGCAAACTAGTTAGTCCTTCAGTAAAGCAAATATAACCCTTACTTATCTGAATTAACTCTCCAATTTGTCAAAATCGTGAAGAAATAAATAACTAAAGTTTAATATGTAAAATTATAGTGGCCTTTGTTGTCAGTATTGAAACAAAATTGTGTTTATTTAATTTAACTTCGAAATACAAACTTTTAACTTGAAAATCTGTTCTGCCAGCTTTATTTATACTAGCCTAAAACTGGAAACAATCCAGATGTCCATGAACAGGTGGATGGATAATCAAATTGTGATCTGTTGGAATATAACCCAACAATAAAAAGGAATGAACTATTGTTACACATCACACACTGATGGATTTCAGTATAAATATGTTGAGGGAAAGAAGCCAGACACAAACAGAATATATACTGTATGTTTCCATTTAAATCAAACTCAAGAAAATGCAAACTGATTTACACTGATACTAACTGTAGTGACTGAAAGTTGTCTGGAGGGAGTGAGTGTGTGGGAAGAAGGGGAGGGTTACAAAGAGTTATTTACTAGTGAAATTTTCCCAGATACTGTTTTTCCCCAAAGTGCTACTGAAGTTTATACCCTAAATTAAGTTACTGGTTTCAAAATGTCTGAAACTGAAAACTAGTTTCATTCTTCTAGATATGTCTCAACTTTTATTTTTATTAAACAACTGTTCTTTTAATCTATCCACATCCGTTGAAATTGTATAAAAATAAGTTTTAGTAAAATTCTGCAAAGCCCTTCCTTTTAACACTGCCTCACTAAAGATATAAAATTTGTGTTATTCTATCTTGAGTTTAATACTATATGCTAAAGTCAAATGAATGATAAAATATTGTTATAAATCTTTACAGTGCAAGTTCTGCATGTATATTCCTGTTTAATATGGTCTGACATACAGTAAGCTAACAAAAATAAGCTACTGTCAACAGTTTGCATCTCAGCTAAGTTCAAAATAA